CACCAGAGCCCTCCGCGCCTACTCCATTGTTTTTGCATGGGGGCCGGAGGATATGCCCGGAATTGACCGAAGGGTTATCACCCACCGCCTAGCGGTGGACCCTTCGGCCAAACCAGTACAGCAGCGGAGGAGACCCCTCTCAGCCGAGAGAAGGGAGTTCGTGAAGAAGGAGGTATCTATGCTCCTCTCCATCAAACACATTAAGGAGGTGAAATACCCTTCTTGGTTGGCAAACGTAGTCCTCGCACAGAAGCCTCCTACCTTCCGCATGTGCGTGGACTACACGGATCTGAATAAGGCGTGCCCCATGGACCCCTTCCCACTGCCAAACATAGATCAGCTGGTTGATGAGACCGCGGGATGTGAAATCATGTCATTCCTCGACGCTTTCCGCGGATATCACCAAATATATATGCATGAGGAGGACGCAGAAAAGACTGCCTTCATGACACCCGAAGGCATCTTCTGCTACCTTGTGATGGCCTTCGGCCTCAAAAATTCAGGCGCCACCTACACACGAATGGTGGCCAGGGTCTTTCAAGCTGTCCTAGGACGCACCATGGAGGCTTACGTTGACGATATGATCGTCAAAAGTAAAAAGGCAAGCACTCACGCCGACGACCTCCGGGAGATTTTTGCCATCATGCAAAAATCCAACCTCCGGCTAAATCCAAAGAAATGCACCTTCGGCGTGCAGGGAGGAAAGTTCTTGGGCTACATGGTCAGCCGGAGGGGTATTGAGGCCAACCCCGAGAAAATTCAGGCCATCATCAACATGGAGCCTCCGCGCAACGTCAAAGAAGTTCAACGGTTGACGGGTCGCCTGGCGGCCCTCAACCGATTCCTCTCTAAGTCAGCCGAGAGGGCCCTCCCATTCTTCCAAATCATGAGGAAGACAGCTGGCTTCCAATGGACATCTGAGTGTCAAGAGGCCTTCGACGAACTTAAAAAGTACCTCTCTTCTCCCCCGGTGCTCTCCAAACCGAAGGTGGGGGAGACATTATACTTGTATCTCGGTGTTAGCCCTGCGGCAATCAGCTCAGTGCTAGTCCGAGAGGAAGACGGCATCCAACATGCCATCTTCTACGTCAGCAAAACCCTCCGGGAGGCCGAACTCAGGTATTCTCCCGTCGAGAAGACGGTGCTAGCCATCGTTTGGACCGTCAAGAAGCTTGGCCACTACTTTCAAGCTCATCCGGTCCAAGTGCTCACTCATCAACCCCTCGGCGCCCTCATGAGGAGTCCCACTAGCTCCTCGCGGATGGTGAAATGGGCCATCTTCCTCAGCCAATACAACATCGATATCCGTCCGAGGCCTGCCATTAAGGGCCAAGCCCTGGCGGACTTCGTGACGGAGTGCACCGCGAGATCAGCAACTGATGAGGAGCCTTCGGCACCCCTAGACGAATGGTGGACCCTCTACACCGATGGCTCTTCAGCCACCAAAGCATGCGGAGGGGGAGTAGTCCTGATCACACCCGAGGGCTTCCGCGCATATTATGCCATCCGCTTCTCCTTCAAAGTCTCCAACAACGAGGCCGAGTACGAAGCCCTCTTATGTGGCCTTCGGCTGGCAGCAAATCTGAAGGCCAAGATGATCCACGTCAAGTGTGACTCCAAACTTGTTGTGGGTCAAATTTCCGGGGAGTACGAAGCCAAGGAAGGAAGGATGAAACAATACAAAGAAGCGGCTAAGGAGTTGCTCAAGGTGTTTGAGGCACATTCTCTCACTCAAATACCGAGGGCTCAAAACTCCGAGGCCGACATTCTATCCAAGCTTTCGGATGAATCCCCAGAGCACCTCTCCAAAATTGCAAGAATTGAGGAACTCGGCCTCTCAAGCATCCACGCGAGCCCCGTCATGAACATTAACCTGAGGCCGGAGGATTGGATCTCCGACATCATCACCTTCATCACCACAGGGCAACTACCCCAGGATGAGGCCCGCGCGAGATTGACAAAACTGAGGGCTCCCAGCTACACCCTCGAGAATGGAAGGCTTTACAAAAGATCTTACAATGGCACCCTCCTTCGGTGCCTGCACCAAGATGAAGCCGAAGTCGCTATGGAGGAAGTGCACAGTGGCACTTGCTCAGCTCACCAGGGACCCTTCTCCATGTCCCGAAGGCTCATAGTTCAGGGCTACTTCTGGCCCACGATGGCTAGAGATTGTGCTGATCTAGCCCGAAGGTGCACCGCTTGCCAACACTTTCAGAAGGCCCCCCGGCAGGCCAGCGGTCAACTATGCCCCCATCAGCACCGCTATACCCTTCTCTAGATGGGGAATTGACCTAGTAGGCCCTCTGCCGAGGGGTACCTCCAACAACAGGTACATCATCGTTGCCATTGACTACTTCACCAAATGGGTGGAGGCCGAACCCCTCGCCAGCATCACTGAGGCCCGGTGCCGCCACTTTGTCCTCAAAAATATCCTCACAAGGTTTGGCGTCCCCCAACAAATCATCTCTGACAACGGAACTCAGTTCGAGGCGGCCCCCTTCTGTGCCCTCCTTGAGGCTTGGGGCATCAAGCACACATTCTCTTCCGTTGCCTACCCTCAGGGCAACGGACAAGTAGAAAATGCCAACCGCACTCTCCTCGAAGGGTTGAAGAAGAAGCTGGAAGCCGAAGGGGGAGGCTGGGTAGAAGAGCTACACAACATCTTATGGGCCTACCGTACCACCCCTCGGCGTGCAACAGGCGAAACACCCTTCTCCCTATGCTATGGCTTTGAGGCTAAGGCTCCAACAGAAGTGACTCTTCCCACCCGAAGGGTGGAACAATATGAGCCCGAGGTCAACGACGCCAACATGGCCCTCGACCTTCATCTCATCTCAGAACGCCGAGAACAAGCTTTCCTCAGGGCCGAAAACTATAGGAGACAAGTCAAAGGCTACATCGACGCCAAGGTCCGCTCCCGGGAATTTCAGGTGGGTGACTACGTCCTCCGACGAAGGGAGGCCAGTCTACCCACCGAAGGAGGAAAGATGGCGCCTAAGTTTGAAGACCCCTACATTGTCTCAGCCATCATCAAGTCGGGGACGTACAAATTAAAACGTCCTAATGGGACGGAGATTCCTAGACATTGGAATGTGCACCACCTAGTTAAGTTTTATCAATGAGCGGCCAAGCCCTCATCCTCAACAAGTGTAAATGATCAAGGGTCCAAGGCCCCATCTGTTTTTGAAGAATAAATCAAAAGGCCAAGCCTTCATCACCTACATATTGTACAAGCGGCCCAAGGCCCCCTTCTCTCCTACGAATGAGTGGCCAAGCCCTCATCTCTCCACCAAAATAGGCCCGAGGCCTCTTCCTCTCACGAGGGGGAACAACAATTTAGGTACCAAGTACCAAGTGTATGGGTCACCCCCATCACTCTTTGAAAACACCAAGTGTTTTCTCACTAAGCCGTACCCCACGAGGACGCAGCCATGCATACATTATGCATACTTTTACATACTCTCATAAAAAAAAAAAAAAAAAAAAAAAAAAAAAAAAAAAAAAACACCGGGGGGTGCAACACCCCTCGGTCCCGGCTGGTACCAAGTGCCCCCGGCTATTTGTGTCCCACACACAAATAAAACCCTTCCCAGGAACGCTTTCCGCGCCATCCCCCAAGGGGAGGCAGGCAACGGACCATGTCCCGGGCCCAGGATTCGACTTCCACAAACGAAACGCTCCCCGCGCTATCCCCCAAGGGGAAGCAGGCAACAGACCATGTCTCGGGCTGAGGGGACGACTTTCAAAACCGAGGCGCTTTCCGTGCTATCTCCCAAGGGGAAGCAGGCAACAGACGATGTCTCGGGCCGAGGAAACGACCCTCAAACCCTTCGGGATATCGGAAGGTCATTCCCGAAGGGGGAGCCAACGGTTTGTTCCGTTGCCTCCCATATAGGCCAAGCCTTTCCTAGACACCAAGTTTCTAGATGCCTCTCCTACACCATCTAAAAAAAAAAAAAAGATGTGTAGGGGGGAAGGAACTCCCCGGATACTATTCCCCCCGGAGGCTCAACACTTCGGATATATATTCCCGAAGGCTCCTACAAAGGCGCAAGAAAATCTCTCAACAAATCACCTGGCTACATAGCCGAAGGATTCACTACATTAGGCCCTGAAGTGCAAGAATTCCCCCGGGGGCCCAAGATGAAGGCCCGAGATTCCGCTGAATCAAAGCCAGCTATGTTCCATGCCGGAAGCTACACGAAGTCCTAAGGCAATTCAAATCTACACAAACCGTGAGCTGGAGGGTTCACCGAGGGGTCAAACCTTATGGCAACCGAATGGTCAATAACACTTATGGCAACTTTGCTAATGGCCATCAACCGAGGGCTACGCACGAGATCTATGGGAGGCTCAAGCAATTCTCGCATTCGATGGATCGCTACAACACCTGTTGAAAGTTTGCGGAAAAATGACTAAGTCCACGATTCGGAATCCTTCGACAGGCAGTCGTAGGCCCCACTATTGCCCACAGGCTTACAGGTGAAGAAGGCCTCAAACTATTTGACGAGGCCCTAAAGCTACACAAAAGCTACACCATTAGTCGAAGGCTCAGCATTTCCGGGGGCCCAAGATGCAATTTCACCTAGTGAAATTGCCAAGTCTAATTCATTTTAGCCCTCGGTCCTTGGATTTCACCCCGGAAGTATTACAAGGATTCTTTACCGGAGTTTGAATTTACTTGGATTATTTTCTGAGATTTTGCTCCACATCTGAAGGGTCCTAACAGAGGTCTGGCTTAGGAAAGTATCTAACTCCACAACTACGAGCCCCCGGCAACCCCGGGATACTACTGAGGGCTCATGATGGGGTTTACACTTAGAAAAATTTCTAAGTCCACAACCACAAACCCCCGGTAATTCTACACTACAGCCGAAGGCTTGTGGGGAGTCGCACTCAGAAATTTTTCTAAGTCCACAAAGGAAGACATCATACATTCAAAATGCGAAGGATGGAAGAGAAGCAAAGACATACATTCATTCATACAATAAAATGAGACCCGAAGGCAAAACATTCATCACCGAAATATACAAGTACATAAGATGTTGGTTTACAATACATGGCCGAAGCCGAAGCCTACTATGGCAAATGTTTACACATGAAATAACTCTAAGTCTCTGCCTCTCTGGCGACGTCTTCCTTCAGCTTCGAGACCGCGTCATCCCCGACCTCTTCTTCATCAGAGTCACACCTTGCCAGCTCTGAATCTTCAAGCAGCTGCCTCTCCTCACCCTCGGGGAGGGGAATTCTGACATCTGGGAGCAAGGGAGGAAGGCCATAGGAAGCCGGTTCGAAGGCCTTCGGATCCACGCCATGATGTCGGGCCAGCTTCCGGTACAACAGGGCTTGAGTGAAATATTGAGCCCCCTCATAAAAGCTCTTCCCCTTCAGGGCAAGCCACATTGCCCCGGGGCCCTTCACCCAGCCATCAGCAGAAGCCTCCACCACTGAGGCCACCCACTGCTTCTGCTCTTCGGCCTTCCAGCCGTCAGCAATAAAAGCCGCCACCGCCTCTTCCCTGGCCTTAGAGATAGCTTCCGCTTTAGCCTCCTCAGCCTTCTCGGCGGCTATCTTGGCGGACTCAGCAGCGGCCCTCTCGGCTTCAGCTTTCCCCTCCGCCCGGGCTTCCTCCTTGGCTGCCTCCAGTTTCTTCTCCGCCTGCCGGAGGGCCTCCTCCAAATTCGCCAGCTGCCGAATGGCCTCGGTATTATTGGCCACCAGCTTCCTCGTCACCTCGGCGGATTTAGCCCTCTCAAGGCGATGCTGCTCCGCCCTACGGACCAGTTCCCCAAAGGCCAGGCTCGCCTGCAAACATATAAGGAGGCACTCAATATCAGATTATTCAAAGAAAGGAAAAGAAAAGAGGAACTAAGGGTGCAAAAAATCTGAACACTTACAGTGGCCGAAGCTTGGAGAGCCTTGAGTTCGAGGGCTTCATCCCCAAACCGGCTGAGGGTGGACCGATCTACCGAAGGAGTGGCACCCTTCAAGAACTCCCTCGGGTCGAGGGTGCCATGCATGATGGCTGTTCCCTTTTTGATTGGGAAGTGTACAGTCTCGAGGGGCCAGGCCCCCTCGACAAGATCCTCCAGGGGAGCAGAGGCTGACGGTTGGCCGGCTGGGGGGTCGTCAATAATCACTACGGAGGGAGCCTTCTGTTCGGCATCCCCCCTCCTCTGCTTCTTCTCCGGGAGCGTGGTGCCCTTCCCGGCATTTTTCCGTTTTAGCTCCGGGACTCGGGAGCCTTCGGCAACAACGCATGTATCAGCATCTTTCAAGGGCCCCACGCCCTCTGGGCCCCTTGTGGCCTCCGGCTTTGGGGAAATCTCCCCGACAGCTCTCTGCTTAGAAGGCCCCTCAGCCTTCTTCTTCTTCTCCTTGGACAGCTTATTGGAAAGCTTAGCAAAAGCCTTTGGATCCATGATGTCGCCTGCAAGAAAACAGAGAGGAAGTTAGAATCAACGACAAAACAAATCGAAGAGAAAATATTCTAAGTACTAAAACAAGAGCCCTTCGGTCACAACCTCCGGCGCTCTGATAGCCCCGGTCAAGGAGGGGGTATCTCTCGTCCTTCTCCCCCGGCAAACGGTACCGCAGGAATTTCAACTTAAACAATTCCTCCGGGAGCGTAGCAGCTTTGATGGTCGTCAGCTTCTCTGAACCCGGCGGCTTCGCCGTTAGCTTTTTCCCCGCACCCTCAAGGGCGGCATTACCAACTTTGGGGTGCCTTCGGAAATGGTTGCGGAGGGGCCTCGGGAAAGATGCTCCCGGCATCCTGAGATAGCAAAAGCGGTCCCTCCATCCCTTATGGGACGAAGGTACTTCTGAGAATAGCCTCCACGCCGGTAGTTGTTGGAGATTGGCAAAGCCCTCGCTGTTGGCGGCCCCCCCTCTGCAAAGATTAAATGACAGGAAAAATTGGTCCAAAGTAGGATCCACCCCTCGGCTCCGGCATTGCGCGAGGAACCCGGCGATGTATGAATGGCTGTTCGGGGTCAGCTGGCAGGGGGCGAGACCAACGAACCGGAGGTACTCTAACAAGAAAGGGTGAAGCGGGAAGCGAAGGCCCAGCTCCATCGACAGGATGTGAACCGCGAAGCACCCTTCGGGAGGACGAGACAGCAAGTCTTCTGGCCCCGGCTCCACCACCTGCGCCGAAGGACCAACAAGGAACTGTGTGGCCTGATAATCCGAAGCTACGGCCGCTGTCTTTAGCTCGAGAGCATCAGTGTTCAAATAAGAGTGCCCCTCAGGAATGCCCACTGGTTGGCCGGCGTCCACAGCAGCAGGTTTCTTTTTCGGAGCCACCCCGCCTTTCTTCTTCTTCTTCTTCTTCCCGGGAGCCACCCGGATGGGGTTGGGGTTAAGAGGACGGGAGCAGCTCGCTTCTCCAGCGTCCGGAGGCAGTACGGCGATAGTCACCTGTTGCCTCTCTTTTTCTTCTTCCTCCTCGGCCACTTGGAGCGCGAGGGCTAGCTCCTCATCCTCTGCTACTTGTTCAAAATCCTCGGCTTCCAACTCGGCTCGAATATGGTTTTGCATCTCCTCGGCTACCGCGGCGTCATTATCGGCCGAGAGCTGCTCACTCGAAGAATCGGCGTCCGAATAGCTCTCGGATTGCACCGACGGTTCCCTTGACATGTTCTGAGAATCATCCTCCGACGACATCGTACGATACTGACAAATAGAGGGGTAGGAGAGGTCCCTAAGGTTCTAAGGCCGCTAACACTAAATCAAGAGGGGAAATAGCAAAAGTGCTAAGGAAGTAAAGAACAGGAGAAGGACTGACCTCGGAAGTAGGGTTTGATCGAAAATACTGGTTTCTCTCTCTAGAAAAATTGGCAGAGCTCCGCTATCACTCAAGTTCGCGCAAAGAAAATAGGTTTGCGCTTGGGGTATATATAGGCTTTCAGCCTCGAAAGATGGGCCTCGTTTTGAAAAGCCCATCATTACAGGCCGCCGGTTCAGCCAATGGATGGCAGCCGCCCCCCTCCAGCCAATGAGGACACGCCACGTCAACCCCCCTTCCAACGGCTCTATTACAACAACTATATTCCTCGAACATTAGGGTGCCCTCAAATGGTGGCCTCTGGCTATCACTATCCGCAGCCTCCGGACAACGAATTCCACCAAGCGCCTTCGAGCCCGCAGCAACATAAGCCTTCGGCTTGTCAATATTGCATCCTCGAGCATATAGCAGCGTAATCCTTCGGCTCTTCAAAGTTACCACCCCTCGGGAGCTTATCAACACATCATGACTCCTTCAGCCCAAACTCGCCTTCGGCCTAAAGGAGTGAGGGACTAGGATACACCCCTCGGGCATCACAACAGAACAAAATACAAATATTTCTTCAAGCGGACATCAGAATAAAAACCCTCGGGTACATACCTCAATATACCCTTCGGCAGAGGCAGAATATCACGAGCTCTCCCCGAGTCACTTGCGGAAATGAAGCAGCCCTCGTCACAACACATGAAGGCAATACACCTATGCTTTCCTCAGAAAACCCTCGACATGTGAGGGACTGAGGAAAGCCTTCGGTAGTCATACAGGTGTTATGCCTCCCTCAGAAAACCCTCGACATGTGCGGGACTGAGGGAAGCCTTCGGCAATCAGCAGAAGGGAAGTTCTCCGGCAAAGGCACCCAACGAAATGATGAAGCCTCCAGGAGAATCAACACAACTACTCCTTTTCCCTCAAGTACCTTTCGGCAAAAGGAGTGAGGGACTCCTGATGGAGTATATGGCCCAGGAACCCCCGGCCCATAGACTCCTGCTTCTCCTACACAAGTTCGTCGAGCCCAGAGAACAACTCAGGCCCAATTGTGACGGCCCAAGCCTCAAAGTAGCCCAGAATACACGCTGGGGGTGCCTTCGGCCTCCTTGGCCGAAGGCTCCAAAACTCACAGAATAGCCTTCTCTGGCATAAGAAGCTACCGGGAGAAAACGGCGAAAAACATGAGCCTTCGGCACTGCGGAGCCCTCGGCACCGGGAGGCCCTCGGCATCAGAGCCTTCGGCTACACAGGGGTCCTGGTCGCATGGAGCCCCCGGCTACGCCAGGAGCCTTCGGCTAAACACACTCAATCATCGAAGATTCCTTTTGGAGACAGCCAACCACCGCATTTAATGCCACGTCACATCCGCCAGCCGCATTCAATGCGGTAAACGTACCACTGCCGGTACCAACTGGCTGATGTGACCCTTCGGCCGTTGGATTGCTGACACGTGTACTCTCATCGCATTTATTGCTGCTATAAATAGCAGCCCATTTCTCCTTGTAAAACATGATCGACATCTCGATTACACACACTGAGTTCATTTAATAAAATCGACTCTCTCTCCTCCTATTTACTCTGACTTCTCTCTAAGTTATTCCCGCAATAACCCCTCGGATAAGATACCCCCGGGTAGACTATCCATCAGGGGAAACTGTCGCAGTCATGGCAGAGAGGTCGTGCAATCGTGATTCAATTGTGCGACTACTTGTTGAATTAGTAAAGCAATAAAGATTTGACACGTGCCTGATTCTGAGAAAAGCAAGGAATTGTAATCGTGAATGTTCTGTTATGTTTTCAATTTAATTATCTTCTGACACGTGTAATAATCTAGTGGCCAGAATTGTTCACTTTGTTCTCACGATTCTGCTTTTATATATATAAAGATACTACATCATTTTTTCAGCTGTTTAGCCATACGAATTTATTTAATTCAGTTAGTAGTTCAGACCAAGTTCTTCAAAATTTAGCTCTCTAATTTAATTTAGTTTCTGCTCTCTAATTCAGACAATAGTCTAATTTAGTTCATAGTGCCAAAATAGCTTATGAGTCCATCACTCCTCTACCCTCATAGTGCCAAATAGCTTAGAGCATCTTCAATGGTACAATGTGCACGGTGCACACGTGTCATGAGAGATGACCACATAAATATTAGTAAATAAATTATTTCTCTCCTTATTTGAATGATTTTATACAGTTTTGGTAAGTTTTTCTCCACAATGTCAAGGAAACCGTCTAATGTTGACATTGCAGGGAAAAACTTACCAAAATTGTATAAAATCATTCATATAAGGAGATAAATAATTTATTTGCTAATAATTATGTGGCTATCACTCGTAATTATAGCATAGGACATTAGTGGGTGTCACTCTTAGGGTTGGTTTGCAACTGTTTCTAAAAAAGCACTTCTCAGCTTTTGGTTTTAAAAAAGCACTTATTTTTCCAAACACTACAACTTTTATTTTTCTCGGCTTCCGCGTCAAAAGTGCTTTTACTTTTTCTATTACACAAAAGCACTTATTTTACCAAACACTACCCACTTTTACTTTTCAAAATCACTTTTTTCTCAAACACTATCAACTTTTATTTAATCACTTCTCACCATTTCATTAAAAGCAGAAGCCGTTGCAAAAAAGACCTTTGTCTTCTTCCTACAGCCTATGAGTCCATGTCTATCACTCCTCTCCCCCGCTAGCTCTTCCTCATTCCTGCCAGTCCTCGTCTCCTTTAATCCTGGATCCTCCTCCTTCAGTCCCCCGCTCGACGGCCCGCCATCCGTCTTCTCTCTGTGCGCCTGTGGCTCTGTCGGCTGTCGCAGACTCGCAGTGACACGGCGTTCCAGACTTGCAGAGTTGCAGTCGGCAATCGCGAATATCTCCTGGCTCCATCACGGCACCGTCCCGGCGGCGCACCACCTCCAGCAGTCCATCCCTCCACGCCTCCATCCCTCCATTCCGGGTTAGTGGTTAGCCTCTTCAATTCTTCATTCAGAAATTAGATGTTTATAACCTAAAGTCTGTAATCCTAATCTGAAATCCGTACACACCCTTTCCAAACCCCAATCCCCATTGCTTCCTGATGCCTAGTTTGCCTTTCTAATACGGAGTATAGTATTCTACATTTATACCTCAAGTCTGCTTGAATGTCTCAACTGTAAAACAGTAAATGTCAGCTGTGGCAGTATACTTTTGTTGAATGTTTGGTTAAATTTACTGGTGTCTTTATGTTTGGTGAAAGATTATTGTGATTATTTTAATTTTAATTAAGAAATTGCTCGAAATTTGAGTAAAACATAGACAAAAATTGCACAAATATCAATAGTTATGCTTTATTCCCAAAATAGGACTTATTTTGTTCTATTGAAAACATAAAACTTCCCCAGTTAGGAGTTAATGCACTTTGCCTATGTTTTACTCTTACTAAATGAATTTTGTCATTTTAATTTTACTTTGGTTTTGAACACCCAACATAAGGGCTAGATCTGCCACTGATATGGCTTCAAGTACCAGACTACCAGTAGTATTAGTACCTTGAAAGAGACTTCAAAACAGAAGCTATGCCCTTAAATACATGAAAAGTAGGCTATGTTTCTCGTTTGAATGTGATAAGCATAGTCCAACATATTGTTTTGAGATACACACGTATGAAGGGTTATTTGGAAATTCAGATTATTGCACATGGATAAACTAAATGAATAATTTCTCAGGTAGGGCATTATTACTACTAACTACTTATTGATGCTTTGTAGCAGTCAAATATGGATGCCATCATGCTATATATTTGTCTAGTGCAATTTTAGTTCCAATTCTAACGATGTTGCAGATTTTGGAGTCATC